ATCCTCTGTATGCAATACAGTCTCTGTTAGTGTCAGTAAAGACCCACAAGATATTGCTAATATTTTAACACTGGAACTGGAGTCCTGCAGCAAATGGTTAGTAGACAACAAACTATCATTACACCTAGGGAAAACTGAAGCCATTCTCTTTGGCACGAAACATAAACTGAGAAGGGTAAATAACTTTAATGTTCAATGTAATGGGGAGCCCATCACTTTGGTTTCATCAGTAAAATATTTGGGAATTCTCTTTGACCCATGCATGTCAGGAGAATTGATAGGGAACAGTGTAGTAAAGAAAGCGAATGCCAGACTGAAGTTCCTGTATAGACAAGCACAGTGTCTACCTACTGAGGCTCGCAGGACCCTATGTCTAGCCCTTATACAATGCCATATGGATTACGCTTGCTCTTCTTGGTACTCTGCCTTGACAAAAAAACTGAAAGATAGACTGCAAATCACCCAGAACAAAATCGTAAGATTCATCCTGGGGCTGGGACCAAGAGAACATGTAGGCCAGGATGAATTACAGCAGTTGGATATGCTGAATGTTGAAGACAGAGTAAAACAACTGAAGCTAAATCATGTTTATAAAATTTGCTCACAAACAGTGTCCAGAATATCTTGCTGTCAATTTGTCAAGTTGGGAACCAAAGCAATCATAGTACTAGGGGGAGAGAAGCACAACTTTGTAGTACCCACAGTCATTGGCCAGGCTTCAAAACCTTTTATTGTACAGCAATAAAGGAATGGAACAGACTACCCGCACATGTCAAAGCCAGTCATAGCATGAACCAGTTCAAAAAGAGTGCCAAAAGGTGTCTGATGAATGTAGCTACAGAAAGGGAGGGGAATGATTTTCTATTTTTTATCTAACATACGTGTAAATTTTACCTTATTCCTAGTAATGACCCTCGTATTGTAGATAGTCTTAATGACCCTCGTGTAGTAGATAGTCTTTTTAGTATGATAATAAGATGTTATCTTCATTATAGAATAATAAGAAAATATTATAACCTTTATATTATAATAATAAGGTAAAAGGACCCCGATGGAAATAAGTCACTCTGTCTGACTTTTTTGGGTTATCCTAGGTTCTCTACACATATGCTGCTATGTATGATAATTCTATGTAACTGTATTTGTGTATACCTGAAAAAAACTTACTTACCGAGTACAGTGTTAATCTCAACGTCGTCGTCGTCGTCTGTGAAGCAGGACACGAGGGACGCTGATAACAGCCCTTACAAACCCAACAATAAGAGGAGGAGGAGCTGTGGCGGCCTCGTGTGTTTAGTTACATTCATCAGCATGGCCACGTCTGCCCATGGTGAGCATAACAACAAATATAATAAGGAAGAAACGCTGCAACAGGCCTACTGGCACATGTTTAACGGACACGTACCCACATCCACTCATGTACTCGTCCAACCTGTAGTTTCGAAATGTTTCGATTCCCGGCGGGTGGAAACATTTCGACAAGTTTCCTTACACCTGTTGTCCTGTTCACCTAGCAGCAAATAGGTACCTGGGTGTTAGTCGACTGGTGTGGGTCGCATCCTGGGGGACAAGATTAAGGACCCCAATGGAAATAAGTTAGACAGTCCTCGATGACGCACTGACTTTCTTGGGTTATCCTGGGTGGCTAACCCATCGGGGTTAAAAATCCGAACGAAATCTTATCTTATCTTAAAGCCTGCTCGAAATGTGCCGCTTGCTAGTGGCTTTCTTCGTAATATTTTATTACAAGTTAAACTACAATGTGTATACTGCAGAGAAAAATGAAATTTGTTTGTTTTACCCAAAATTCTTGCTTCACTGATGGTACCTGGAAGGTTAAATTTTTTCTCTATAATTCTTGCACACTCTTTTTGTCCCCTTTTATTTTATATGGATGCTCTTTGCCATATGGATGCTCTTTGCCAGTCCCTAGGTACCTTCACCTCATTCATACATTTATTAAGCAAAAGCATCAGCCACTCCTAAACTATATTCCCCATCTACTTTTAACATTTTTGTCTTGAGCCCATCAATCCCTGCTACTTTACCACCTTTTATTTTACACACTGCCTGATGCATCTTCCCAAACTCACATTTGGCTCTTCCTCACTCCTGAAAGATGTTATACCTCCCTGGCCAGTGCATGAAATCATGCTTCCCTCTCTTAATCAACATTTAACAGCCTCTCAAATATTATTATAATAAAAAAGAAGCGCTAAGCCACAAGGGCTATACAGCTACAGCCTCTCAAAATATTCCTGCCACTTTCTCCATCTTTACTGTGGCCCGTGGCCTGGTGGCAAAAGCTCTCACTTCACATGGTGAGGGTACGGGTTCGAGCCCTGGCGAGGGTAGAAACATTGATCCTGTTTCCTTACACATGTCTGTGTTCACCAATCAGTAAAATAGGTACCTGGGTGTTGGTCGAATGGTGTGGGTCGCATCCTGGGAAAAAATGTTGACCTAATTTGCCCAAAATGCTATGCATAACAGGCGGCTTTCTATGTAGTAGTATGTCACTGATGTCAGATAGGCCTGTATACCTTGTACATGTACTTGTAGAAATAAATATTATTATGTATTATCTACAGTTCTATTGCCAAACCAGTACTTCCCAATAACCTTTCTAAATCTAAATTTCTCTAATTTTAATCCATTGCTGCAAGTCCTATCTCTGTTAAATATTTTCAGTGCACTTCCTATATCCCCTTTATTCCTGCTTAAATCTTGTCTCCCTCAGGTTTTTACTTCACTGACCCTATTAAGCACACTGTTCCACACACAGACTACTAGAGTGGATAATGAGAACCCTCAAAACTAGGGATGCCAAGCCCATGATGATTCTCTTCAAATTGTTTGTTCTCTCTAGGCTGGAATATTGCTGTACACTAATAGCTCCTTAGGCAGGTGAATAAACAGAGAACTTTCACAGCATGTATAAGTATGATAAAGCACTTAAATTACTGGGAATGATTGAAGGCCCTTGATTTGTATTTCTGGAATGCAGGCGAGAAAGATATATGAGGATATATGTCGGAGGATCTCACCTTCAAGGACCATAACATTGTATCAATCGCATCTGCTAGAAAAATGACAGGATGGATAATGAGAACCTTCAAAACTAGGGAGGCCAAGCCCATGATGACACTCTTCAGGTCACTTGTTCTATCTAGGCTGGAATATTGCTGCACTCTAACAGCACCTTTCAAGGCAGGTGAAATTGCCGACCTAGAAAATGTACAGAGAACTTTCACGGCGCGCATAACGGAGATAAAACACCTCAATTACGGGGAGCGCTTGAGGTTTCTAAACCTGTATTCCCTGGAACGCAGGAGGGAGAGATACATGATTATAACACCTGGAAAATCCTAGAGGGGCTAGTAACCTAACTTGCACGCGAAAATCACTTCACTACGAAAGCAAAAGACTTGGCAGACGATGCAAAACCCTCCCCCCAATGAAAAGCAGGGGTGTCACTAGCACGTTAAGAGACCATACAATAAGTGTCAGGGGTCCGAGACTGTTCAACTGCCTCCCAGCACACATAAGGGGGATTACCAACAGACCCCTGGCAGTCTTCAAGCTGGCACTGGACAAGCACCTAAAGTCAGTTCCTGATCAGCCGGGCTGTGGCTCGTACGTTGGTTTGCGTGCAGCCAGCAGCAACAGCCTGGTTGATCAGGCGTTGATCCACCAGGAGGCCTGGTCACAGACCGGGCCGCGGGGGCATTGACCCCCGAAACTCTCTCCAGGTAAACTCCAGATAATATACACTTGGAAAATCCTAGTGGGACTAGTCCCAAATCTGCACACGAAAATCACTCCCTACAAAAGCAAAAGACTTGGCAGGAGATGCAACATCCTCCCAATGAAAAGCAGGGGCACCATGAGTACACTAAGAGTCAACACAGTTAGTGTCAGGGGCCCAAGACTGTTCAGCTGTCTTCCAGCATACATAAGGGGGATTACCAATAGACCCCTGACTATCTTAAGAAGGCACTGGATAGGCACCTAAAGTCAGTATTTGACCAGCTGGGCTGTGGTTCGTATGTCTGTTTACATGCGGCCAGCAGTAACAGTCTGGTTGATCAGGCCCTGATGGCTGATTCACTGCGAGGCCTGGTCATGGACTGGGCTGCAGGGGTGTTGACCCTCGAAACCCCCTCCAGGTATACTCTATTTCCAAACCAGTACTTCCCTATATCCTTTCTAAATAAAGGAGTACAATTCAAGGGATCTTTCGGGGCATGATGGAATTTTTACAGGCATTGAAGATTCTCTGTATCTTCTCCAGATCAGCAGTTTTGCTTGCCTTAGAAGGGGCTGTTAGTTTGCAACAATACTTAAAGCTAGAGAGAGCAAGTTACTAGAGTACCATTGGACTGATGCTGTTGTGATCCTTGAATGTAAGATCTAACAGTATCACTCTCAAATCCTTCCACTCTGTGAAATGTTTTTTTTTTTTAATACCTCCTGTTTTTTATTTTCTAATATTTTCCTTATTGTAGTAACTAAAATTTGTCCTCCTTGAGCATCATTTTGCATTCTGAGGCCCTCTAGATTCTACTCCTATATACAAATTCTAGTATCATCTGCAGAGAAAGGAAATGTACATCTGCTCATTTTTCCAGTTATTTCTTTCGCACACATTTTGTGAGCTATTACACCATGATCACACTTGTCATATGCTTTTATTATGTCTATATACAGACCTCTCTGCATTTTGTGATCTTCCAGTACCTTCATGACCATGTTGTAATGGTCCAGCAGTTGCAGAAGGCATGGCACCCTGTTCTAACCCCTACAGTCACTCTCTCATACCCTTCCATTATCTCTTGCATGTCTCCAGTCTCTCCTCTACACTCCTACAACTCCCTCACCATCTGGTTTTGTATGCTTTTGATGCTACATTTCATTTTATAAACAATGTATATTTATCAGTTCTTCATGCACTTATGCAATGGTGAGATGATTATATAAATAATTATAATGTAATTGCAGATTAAATAGATTTATATTTTGTAATTGAACTTATAATGCTGTAGCTGCAATTTATTCTTTCATTGATTAATTTTATTGTATAATGTACATTTAAAATGCCATTTTTTGTGTTATATTGTACAATACATATGGAAAAGCAGTTGGCATTTATTTAAATAATAATATCTTTAATTTTTCCAAACATATACACATTATCAGACAGTGTTTATGTTTTTTAGCACTGAGTGCACGACTACATGGGTCAGAACCACTGCAGGAACGCCTTGTCCTTGCTGAGCGAGCATTCCTGGCCCCACTTAATGTTCCAGTCATACACAAGGAAGATGTTGTTGTTATATGGTTATCCCAGCTGCTCACTAATAAGGTATGTTTTTTAAAGTGTGTATGTCTAGAGCTAAATCTATTAGGGCTACTTCATGTCATGAATTTACATTGTCTCTGGAAGGCATTTTCAGTAGTATATAAATAAAAAGCTTGATTATTGTGTTTTTGAAAGTACAGTAGGGCCCCACTTATACGGCGGGTTAGGTTCCAGGCTACCGCCGTAAAGCGGAAATCGCCGTAAAGTGGAACACCCTTTTTTTCCACTTATAAATGCATACAAACACTAGATAACAAGTTTACACTAACATATATTAAGTTAGCAATAGAACCAGGCATCAAAAAACAATAAAAAGGTACTCAGTATTGTTATTATCACCACTTGTGCAAGTCGTCTGCTACACAGCTCACATTTATGTTTATTTATTCTACTGTGGGGTGTATTTATCTTATTTATATGTTATGCATCGTGTTTATTATATAATTTTGAAAAAAATATCATGGATGGATTAATGAAAATGTGTATATTAACGTAATATACGACATTTAAATGACTTGATGTGTGTAAGTTTATTTAGGTACAGGTATACATAAGTATAATTATCAGAGTATATATAAAATATGAAATAACTTTTAAAAACATTTGAAATTTTGGAGTTTCCAGACAAAATGGAGAGACTTAGTGCTTACTGAGCTCATGGAGAATGTAAACAAACAGGGTGGGGCACGTTGACCGTATTAGAAAGTCAGGTGGGGGGAGCCGTATAGTGAGTTTTGGTCATAATTTGAAATGTCCGTATTAGCGGAACGCCGTAAAGCGGAACGCCGTAAAGCGGGGCCCTCCTGTACCTTTCCATTAAAAGAATGATACAACTGTTGTATTGCCCCTTGTTCATTAATTATAGTTGTCAAAATTAACATCACATATTACATAAAGAAATACCAGGTGGGGATTGACCCTGTAACTACAAGTGTACATATCTAGCCTGCTACCACTCTGCCATGGTGGACGTGTTGGTGAAGGAAAAGGTCTATAAACAACTTGAAGTCGCTGTCCCAAATACAAATCTATTTCAAAATTACTGCACAGGACATACAATAATCTGAAGGCCTTTAGAATGCATAGTATTTCAGGCATAATCTGAAGGCCTATAGAATGCATAGCATTTCAGGCAAAACTTAGACTTTTTTTTTTTTTTTGTTAAATCGCTGGCACTGAGGGCATGTTTATTTCCAACCCTTTGGCAGAGGGTTAAGAAAATTCACTTTGATTTAATTGGCAAATTGGCACCCAAACTGCCCCAAATTAATAAAAAATCCTCAAATTAACCCTTAAGCTGTCCAAACGTAGATCTACGTTCACTCGCGTGGCGCTCTGAATATTTTGAAAAATAAAAAAAATCATTTTTTTTTCTTTTAAAATGAAGAGCACATTTTTCTTCATGTTAAGAGTAAATTGAAATTATAGTAAAAATAATAAATAGACTGATAGATAGATAAGCAGAAGCATTGCCGATATAACCTTTTTCCTCGTTTTATTTTTAATTTTTACATTTTTTATGTTCTGATAATCACAATTTATAATAGTTCTTGTGATTTCATAGCCAGTCCCTTTGTTCTGACACTAAAATTATTTAACTGAAGTAGTGCTCAAATAGTCACAATCACATTGACAAGTGAACATTTACACCTGCTAGAAATATATACAAAGTATTTATAGGTCCCAGCAATGTTTTAAATACCCTGGCATATACCTTAAAGCATGGTGTCATGAAAGGCATCCCTATACTGTTGACAGCTGTGTGACATTTGATAAATGCCCACTGCCCCAGCTAACCCTCGCTGTATTTGTTATCACTGTTACTCACAAACATGTCTTGTCTCTCTATTTATCTGTCTGTCTATCTGCTTATCTATCTATCAGTCTATTTATACTATTTTTACTATAATTTCAATTTACTCTTAACATTTTTGACATTTAATAACCATTACTTGTCTAATTACCTTTACCTGTTTTAATACCATATTTACTATCTTAGAGTACTCTTAATTACCTTGTGCTGCCATATAACCTCTAGTATAACTACCAGTGCAATATTGAATGAAATAAACATTACTTTTTCACTTTTTTGTAATCATTATTACTTACTAAAATTTTATTAAACACCATATTTACTACCAGTCAATTTTACTTTTGTACATTAAACATTATTTTATACTTCCCATAACATTTTGTTGCCAAATTTTCAAGTTTGTATATTCAACTCCAACCTTTATATTATCCTTTGTACCTGTCTACCATCTTACTATCATATTATAACCAAGACATTACCCTTGTTATTTTTTACTATTATTCTTTTGGTACTTGAATTGTGAATTATATTTTGTCAATTTAAATCTAGTTATACTCCTGATCTTATCAACAACCTATACCAGACTCTAGTGCAATTGCAAGTACCATTTCAATTTGTATTTTTATATTATAAGTTTATATTATAATTCCTACTCTAAGATTGTTTTCATATCTTAGTGACTATATTGTGTGTGCAATTGTGAAATTTTTTCAATTATTTTATTGTTAAGGCCCTTTACTATCTTTTGCAACTAGTACCAACTAGGTCTATATTTTTTTTTCTACTTTTTTTTTTATTCTTTTGCTACCTTAACTTGTATATTTTATCTTGTCATTTAAATCTAGTTATAAATCTAATTTCTTTAAACGCTTTATAACACCTTATTGCAATTTCAAATTTAAGTCTTGTCATTTTTTTAAATTTTAAATTAAATCAGTTGTACTATAGTCAATACCAAAATTATTATATTAACCATATTGCAAATTTGAGATGTAAAAAGAGGGGAAATTTTTTTTCCCCGTAAAAGAGGCCTTAGAAAGGATGTTATGCACCGTGGTTTTTTTTAATATATTTATAGATGGGGTTTTAAAGAAGTAAATGCGAGGTCTTGGGAAGAGGCGTGGAGTTTAAAAAAAAAGAATCCAAAACGGGTGGGGTTGTCACAGCTGCTCTTTGCTGATGACACTGTGCCTTGGGGATTTTGAAAGGAAACTGCAGAATTGGTGGGGAATTTGGTAGGGGGTTTCAAAAAAAGAAAATTAAAGGGAAAAACAGGAAAGAGTAAGGTTTGAGAAAAAAAAAGATTTGGTGATGAAAGATTTAATACAGATTGGAGGGAGAAGTATGGAGGAGGTTAACGATTTAGATATTTGGAGTGGAAGTGTCACGGATGGGTCTTGAAAGTGAGGTGAATATAAATTGATGAGGAAAAAGAGGATGGGGGCACTTAGGAGTTGTGGAGACAGAGAACTTTTTCCTTTGGGGGCAAAAAGGGGGTATGTATGAGGTTAGTTTTTCCCAAAGTCTTATATGGGGGTGAAGCAGGGGATGAAAGTTTCAGCGGGAAGGGTGGAGGCAGTGGAGACATGTCTGAGGGCAATGTGGGGGTGTGAAAATTTTTGCGAGAATTCGTATTTGGAATTAGGAGGAGGTGCGGGATTACCAAAATGTTGTCCAGAGGCTGAGGAAGGTGTTGGGTGGTTCGGACATGTAGAGAGAATGGAGCGAAACAAAAATAACTTCAAGAGTTATCTCGAGGGAAGGAAGGCGGGGTGGGGGTCGGCCTAGAAGGGGTTTGGAGGGAGGGGGTAAAGGGAGGTTTTGTTGCGAGGGGCTTGGGCTTTTCCCCAGGCATGGGTGAGGTGTTTGATGGAGTAATGGGAAAAAATGGTTTTTTAAAACTTTACGTGCTGTTGGAGTTAGGAAAAATAACATTTATGAAGGGATTCAGGGGAAAACCCGGCAGGCCGGGGCTTGACCTGGGAAAGGAAGTACAGTGCCCGCACTCTGAAGGAGGGGTGTTAATGTTGCAGTTTAAAACTGAAATGTAAAAACACCCTTCTGGGAAGACATGATGGATTGGAAAGATTGTGAATTTTTCTTTTCGGGCCACCCGCCCTTTGGGGGAATCGGCCATGTGATAAAAAAAAAAAAAAAAAAAAAAAATAATAAAAAAAAAAAATTGCAATTACTATGAAGACTGGTGCTATTTTTAATTTGTATTTTTTATTATTTGATTAAATCAGTTGTACTAAGCCATTCTAGCTCAAAACTAGACCACAAAAGTCATTATATTAGACTTAGTGCAATTATTTGTTACCCCTTTATTGTTACCACAACTTATATTAGTCCCTTTTATATTAAATTTTATATTATAAATTTTAACTTTAAAGAATTCCTTTAAAGACTACCTACTATCATTTCCCAGCTCCATTATTTATCATCACTTTATTTGTTCACCACAAAATTTTTTTTAGTCCCTTTTTTATTGTTCCTTTATTTTTTGCTTAAAAAAATACCTTGCCATTATTTTACATTTGTTAAATAATTCAGGTGCATTTTTTTTGCTTAAATATTATTGGGTTTTATAATAATTCTAACTAAGATTTAACAAATCTTATACAAGCATTGATCCTGATACCAACCTCTTTTTAATGACTTAAAAAGATTAAAACATTTTATTTAAATTATACACAGAAACAATAAAGGCACTTCTCGACCCAACAACAACAAACATTTTTAAACTACAATATCAATCTTTAAGAAAGCTTTATTTTACCTCCTAGCATTACTAATTCCCTTGCATCCCAAATTGCCCCATCATTACACTAACTGAAACCGGGTAAAGCCTGATACTACAGATTCTATGCCATTCCGGGTTACACGCCTACACAACATAGGCCAAAACAAGGGGTGGCACAGCTAATACTATACTAAACCCAATAAATGTATACTAATATTGCCAAGGGATGAACATGGGGAATAATAATACTAAATTCAAATCCAAATACCACAAAAACCTCTCACAGTGATAAACATTACAGATTCCACAATCAAACATTTCCAATTTTTGTCAAAACCTAGGAAGTATGTTTAAAGATGCACCATGAACAAAGATCACTTCTACTTCAAGGTGATTCAATATAAATCCCCGCAAGACCCGGGCCCACATTAGAATTTAAAACACAAT